GGTGGATGGACTGCTGGAATTCAAGTAGTCATCCTGGTTCATGAGTGACCTTAGTAACGATGGTGGAACAGAAAGAAGACAGTTGGAAAGAAATAAATTTATAGCAAAACCTAATCATAGCCAATGCACAGGGCCTGACTGGATGCCCAATTGCTGAATTCTGGCAAGAACATATTCTGTGTCAATCATATCAAGACTAAAACACAGGCAAAGTTTAACACTGGTAATTGTCCTTTATAAATTTCTTCCTCCTTTGGAATCTGTTCAGCCATTCATCATTTCACTTACCAAATATTTACTTAGTGCTTACTATTTATCAGGCAAAGGGACCCCCAAACAAGATACAGTTGCTGCTACTGTCTTCAGTGTGAAGATAACATGTAAATAAATGTAATTAGGGTAATATGCAATTTAACAGAAGTGTATACAGGATACACTATGGCCAAAACAGACTGGTTAATGTACAGGTGGCTGGGCACAGTGAGGGAAGGAGACCAGAGGAAGGGGGAACATCAGGAAAGATTCCTTCAAATGTGACTCCAGGGATTCACTTAGCATTATCTATCTTGTCTAAAGAGTCATAAATATTTGCCTTGAATAACAAGGAATAAATGATTCTTAACTTTTGGTGTTCTTTGCCTTCAGTCATAAAAATGTTCCAAATTTTCCAAAAAATAAAAATAAAGAGAATAATACAAAGAACACCATGTACTCGCTATCATTAAATACTCACTGATATTTGTTTGAAATTTACATGAATTTTAATTTATTTATTTTTAAATTATGTATGTGTATTGATTTCAGAGAGAGGAAGAAAGAGGAGGAGAGAGAGAGGAATATCAGTGATGAGAGAGTCACTGATTGGCTGCCTCCTGCACGCCCCCTACTGGGGATTAAGCCCGAAACCTGGGCATGTGCCCTGACCGGGAATCAGACCACCATCTCCTGGATCCTAGGTCGATGCTCAACCGCTGAGCCACGCCGGCAAAGCAAAATTTATATATATTTGAAATAAATTTATTGGGGGTGACACTGGTTAATAGGATCAAATAAGTTTCAAGTGTACATTTCTATGATATATATATTTTTAAGAATAAACATTAATAACTTAGTTGAAAGCTTTCTCCATTGTTCCTCAACAAGACAGAACGAAGGTTAGTGTATCCCTCCTGTCCATGCTTTGATTTGATTACATGTATCCCCTAATAATATGTGCTCTTGTGCAACTAAAATTGTACATGAGTAGTACTGTACAATAAGATGATCTTGCAAATTATTTTAATTTTTACCTCAATGTTATGATTTCACAATTGCTCAATACTGTTTGCAAAACTAGTTCAATTATTTTAACTTGAAATGGTATCCAACTGTCTAAAGAAATTATAATTTGTTACCCATTCCTTGATTGATGGGTTTTTACAATTACTCCAATTTGGGTTTTATTACAAGACATTATATATGTCTCCTTGTATATACGTGTGAAAATTTCTCTACAGTATATCCCTAGAAGAAGAAATGTGGAGTCACAGGGTTTATATAGTCAACTTTATTAGCTATTGTGAAACACCTCCCCAGGCTAGTTGGACCGAGCAAGTTATACACAGCACTAGTGCACAATAAGCACTCCTATTTTCTACAGTCTTAACAGCATTTTATGCTTTCACACTTTAATTTTTGTCAATATGTTGTATATGAAACAGAATATTTTGTATTAATTTGAAGTCCCCTAATTACAAGTGAGATTCAATTTCTTGTCCATGTTGATCAGCAATATTTTTGACTCACAAAATTACTTAGCAATATTTTAAAAATTTTCATACACAGAGTTTTAACAAGTAATTTTTATTAGTGATTTCTAATTTTGTGAAAACCAAAAATATCTCCAGACATTGCCAAATATCCCCTGAGGCAAAACTCCACATCCCTGTCCTTGAGAACTACTGTTCCAGGGACAAACACTATTAACAGCTTTGTTTATGATTTTTCTGATTTTTTTCCTATGAATATAGCACCTATATATAAAACAATATATAAATTATGGGGTTTTTTTTGAAAAATTAAATTATACTATACAGAGTGTTCTATGTTTTTAAAAACTATCAATATATCACAGCTTTCTATTCTGTAGATTTTAAATCTTTTGTATGCTTTAAAAATTTTTTATAATAGTATATTAAAGTTTAGCATTTAAGTATATTTATATCATATTTTGAATGTAATAAAACATTGCAAAAGGCCCTTCTGAACTTCTCCCAGAGGTAACAACTGTCATCTAGTTGGTTTAATATTCCCAAACATTTTATTATATAACATTTGATGTATACTAAAACAAGCTGGAGAAGAAAAATAAAATACAAACTAACCAAATAAATATAATCAAACCAAAAAATACAATCAAGAGGGGAGAAAAGAAGTGATAAAAATAACAAAAACATTTTAAATAAGATGATAAAAATACATCGAAATGCATTATAATGAGACTGTAAAATATGAGGAGCAACGGGCACTCTTACATAACAGTAGTGAGGATGAAATTGATAAAACTACTTCAGAAAACAATTTAGCAATCCAACAACTACTTTCTGAGCATATATTATGAGCCAACCATTTTTCTGGGACCGGGAGAAACAAGTAAAAATTTGGCAACACCTCAAATAAAGCTGCAGGTAAACAAACTCCTTGACTTCATAATATTTTCATAATTAAATTTGAAAAAGCATGTAAATGGTAAACTCAAGGTGTAGAATACAGTTACCTCTTAGGGAGAGGGAAGGTATATATGATCAAGAAGAAACACAGGCAATTTCAAAGGTTCTCATTCTTAGCTGGGTGGTGGGTACATGTATTTTTCACTCTTTAAACTGCACAAGTAAAATATAATCATTTTGTGTATAATTGGTAAAGATATAAAAACAATTTTATAAAAGTAATGCAAATAAAATACCTATCACAGAAGGTACTCAAGTTTTGTTGCATGTGAAATTTATTCTAGATGAATACAGCATGTCAGTGAGGCAAGCTTATGAATTTAAATCGGAAGTAATTTATTTTTGATCAAAAGGTAGATTCTAATAATTTATTGAATAATGTCATCTTTTAGCCTTAAAATGCAAATGTATTAATTGGACAATACCTGTCCTTAATTTTTTCTGGTGTCTGAATGATGAATTTAAAAAATGTCACTTGTATAATGTTAGTCACATACTTCCCAGCCTAATAACAAAGAATATCTCATTAACTATCATTAGACATTGAGTGTGCATTGCTCACTACAGCTTTCTTCAAATGTTACAGAAATGGTAAGAGGTAAAAGTAAATACCAGTGAAATGGCATCTGTATCCCAAAGCATCTTTCCCGGGTACAAAAATATAGATAGTATAGAGGTGTTGTCAAACCAACTAATACATTGTGTATCTATCTGCTATGTTTACCATACTTACTTCTAAGTTTAACTTTTTAGGATCAAATGAGACACATAGTACTTATAAAAATACTTTGAAAAAATACGTCACTAAATAACTATGGTGAAATTATTTTAAAATATCTGTATATAAAAACCATTCTCAGAGTATTCACGAGAGGCAATCATTTTTTCAGACAATGAGTTAAAAAATAACTAGTTCAGTGTTAGAAATCACTTTTCAAGAGATTCTGATATAAAACTGTCTAGGCAGACAAGAAAAACAAAAAGGATTTCATGAGGACAATGCCATTCATGTATACGCCTTGACAGGTACTGCCCTTCATCAAATTGTAACCTGCCTTTCTTCAAAATTGGACTGAGTAGGGCAATTAATTAATACCCACATAATCGGTCAATACCTTTTCCTTGTGAAATCTCATTACAGCATCAATTTTCTAGATACTATATGCAATATATTTATAGAAGATAAAGATATACTTTTACTACATTTTAACTTTTTTACATTTTAAATTTGTGATCACATTGTCCTTGTTTATTACTGGATAGGAAATATGTTAAAAGTATAATAGATGATAAAGTTGAATTTGTCTACAAAGCAGCAATTAAAATAGGACCCATTTTAAGTTAAAATGATTCAGATATTACTATAGCAATAGCTAACTATACAAAAAAGGAAGAGCAGCTTAGGAAATATTTGGGCTCAGTGGCTGAGCGTCGACCCATGAACCAGGAGATCATGGTTGGATTCCCCATCAGGGCACATACCCAGTTGCAGCCTAGATCCCCAGTATGGGCGTGCAGGAGGCAGCCCATCAATGACTCTCTCTCATCATTGTTTCTCTCTCTCTTCCTCTCCCTCTCTCTGAAATCAATAAAAACATTAAAATAATAATAATAAGACATTGCATATTTTTGCTGTCAGCTCCCAAGTAACCTTACAAGAACCAGTTTTAAAATGCATCTTAAGTTTCTTTTACATACAAAAGCTCTCAATGTTTTACTCTCCCCAGGGCAAGTTTTTTGTGCCTTAGTACATTGCTACCATCTTCTTAGTAGTTAGTATTCACTACTTTGTATTTTAAGGTTAGTTTCCCTTTACTTTTTAAAAAAAGTTGAACAAATGTAGTATTACTTGCACTCATTGCTCTTACACATGAAGTATATTACACCTTGTCATAATTGATTCCATGCTTCCTTGGATTCTACACTGTAAAACATCACATTTGTCTTATTTGTCACAGGAGGAAACAGATTAATTTGAATGTCATTTTAGTGACAAAAGTTTTCATTTCTGTTCTGTACTAGTGAACAATATGAACTGCCCAACTCAAACATGAATAAGTTCATTTAAATCTAAACTGCCATTCATTTAATTGCATAAAAATAACTCTTCAAGAAACTAATGGCTCCAGTCCTTTACCCTCTCCAAAAACCAGACTCCTCCCTTGCTGTTGTTTCATGGAAGAAAAACAGACATGTGAAGTATTTACCATTTCCAGTTTCTCTGCCTTAAGGCGAACGGAGGGATTTAGGGAAATCTTCTTTCCTTGTGGTCCATAATTATCAGTCCAGACAGGGGCAGTTTCTAAGAGACAACAGGGTGCACATTAATTGGAAATTTAATTGGAATAGAAATTTTCATTTGACAGGATGTGTCCTGAACTCCTGCTGTTCAAAAATTACTCTGGTTAATCAGTTGGCAGTTTTCAGTTTTGTTTTCATGTTTTTTTCCTTTAAATCTAAAAGGTATCACACAAACCAGCTTCACCTGAGCCCTAAAATATATGCTATAAAAGAGTGGTCGATTATGCATTAAGTCCCAGGGAATACTAATTTAAAACACAAACATACATCCTACCACCACTACCCTGTCATCGCAATACCTTACTAATTGTAAAACAAAAAGTCTTTTTCCCCCTTCCCAAATAAGTAAAATCATATGAGAAATTCAAAAAGATCATGCTGTTTCTTTGGCTGGCAAAAGTGGTTTTGTTATGTGAGTTCTGGAAAGACTTCAGAAAAACAAAAAAATGAAAGTTGTTTCAAGTTTACACATAGACTATATTAGACTTGTAACTTCCTGAACTAAAACTCCTATTTCTTATTTTACAGAAGGGTTGTTTCAAGCAGCATAAATGGACTTTCAAGAGTTGAGTTTATATGCCATTCTTTGGCTCTCTCTCAATCGACCCTGATTATTTAGACAAGCCTTTGTCCTTGTACAAGAATAAGGTGCCAACCAGGACTAAAACTTGAAAACAATTATTTGTTTTAATATAAAACAAATTCCTGTAAAAACAATCCTTATATCTAAGTTGTCACTATTCTAAATACACTTTTAAATGATATTTTACAAGTTCTACATAGAGACAAGAGGAAGAGAAAAAACTTTTTAAAATGTCACATCTTTATGCAGTGTTTTAATTTTTTTTACTTTCTCAGAGCATCTGTCTCTTAAGTACAAAATGATTTGCATTCTCTTAAGAACATAAGCGCCTATGAAAATAAATAGTCTTCCTCCAAACCTTTAACACATCGTTCGTTAACATTCTATGTAAAATCTTGAATATAGCTTATATGTGTCAAGATCATAAAAAAAAAAGGCTACTGACTTTTAGCTTCAAATGGAATCAAATGTTGAGAAAGACTGATTTTAGTACAGAAGAATTTTTACAATTCTGATAAAAGCAACAAAGTTTCCTTTGTTGATGTGATACCTAACTGTTGGTCATGGGATAAAAAATACCATATGCATATTTTTTTCTCTTAATGTAACTGCAGAGCAGCTTCCCATTCTTGGCTTGATGCCCTGCCAATAAAATGGCTTTATTTTCTCCACTGCAAACCTTGATATTCAGTGCTCCGCTTTGCTGTGCATGGAGCGAGCAGATCCTTGTTCGATCTGGTTCAGTTCGGTTCGGTAACATTAAGAGAAATTCTCTGCCAAACCTAAAGTGGGGCATAAAAGAGGAGCGTGTGGTGGCGTGGTATGAAAGAACAAATAGCAGATAAGTCCAACTTTAGTTTTCATTTTTAAGGATTGGGCCTGTGAAGCTTGACAATGACTTTCAGCTTGGTACCTGACCTACCTACAATTAAGGTACACTAACACTAGGCGGGTGGACCCAAGATCTCCTAATTATGGTCTCAGACGAAGACAAAACCTGGGCATGCATAACTCAGTTCAAGTTTAAGTACATACTTGGAGAGGGGTTGAGAGAGAGGAGAATCAGGAAGAGAGAGGGAGGCACAGGAACACACCCACCATCCACACACACTAAGGCATGCATTCTCACTTGTTTCCCTATAGCTAAGCTTAAAAATTTGCTGTGTAACAGTGGAAATAACACAAGTTAGCTCTTATTTATGCGTATTTTTAGTTAAGCAGTACACTAAGCACTTTACACATATAAGCTCACTAATCTTTAAAATAACTAGAATATTTGTGCAAGCATTATTTTAAAGGGCCTTTGAGTGGTCCACTGACCATGGAAAACATCTTGTGACCAACCTAGATTAAGCGCCACCAGATGGCGATCGTGAGACAGCTGACCACCTCCTCATTCCCAAACCTACACCCATCCCAAGTCCCCTGTATGAGCCATCCACAAGAACCCCTTGGGGAATTCACTTCTCTTTTCTGGCTGACTCCCTTGTGCACAAGCTCTTTACAATAAACTCTCTCTGCTTGATCTTACACTGTGTTCAGTGCTCATTTCCATGACATCGAGACTCAAGGACCTGGCATTCAAGGTCGGCAACGTAAGTTTCCATTCAGAGCTTGGTGATTAACCACTGTGCCTTCCCCACACCACTCAAGCCACTTAATTACTTTCTTTCCTTAGTCCACCTTGTGCATGGCTTTACACTATTTGTTCAAATGTGTGATTCATCCTCAAGACAGTATAGATACTCCTTAGAGTACTAAAACCACCCATACTCTGTTCCAGTTCACATAGAATACTCAGATAGTAGTCATTCAGTAAAATAAACACACACACACAAAATTGCACACACACATTTCTTTTTCTAATCTGAAAAATGGTTTTTAACCCCTTGTTTTATTTCATAATATATGATTAAATATCTCACAGAAACTATCCTAATTCCTTCATAATTCCTACTGGGCAATGTTTTCTACACATATGACATAGTACATGCTTACTGAATAAATGAAAGGCTAAAAGAGGCAGTGAGGAGTAGTTCAATTACTTTAAAAATCAAAAACATGTTACATAAATATATCCTCACCATTGTTTGTTTCTTTATCTTTCTCACATGAGGTCACAGTTTAAAATAAAAATAATATATCACGAGAATGAAAATTAATTATATAAAGGGAATAAGCTAATAAAATTTCTAATAGTCAACGAATCCCACTAAGGAAAAAGGTATATTACCTATGGCTAAAGATTGCTACTACCCTACCAGTAAATACTGCTCCAAGTCAGAGGAAACTACTGTGGGATCGACTATGAATTCCTGTTAAGCAGTAGCTATGTGCAATGGTCTGGATGTCTGAGCCCTTGCAGAACTCACAGGATGGAATTCTAACCCTCAAGGAAGATGGTACGAGGAGGTGGGGCCTTTGGGAGGTGCTTAGGCTATGAGGGTGGAGCCCTCATGAATGGGGTTTATGCTCTTATAAAGGAGCCCCACAGTGTTCCCTCGCCCTTCTGCCATGTGAGGACATGATGAAAAGCCTGCAGCTGGGAAAAGGCTCTCACCCAGACCATGATCCTGGACTGCAGCCTCGGGAACTGTGAGAAATAAATATGTTGTTTATAAGCTACCCAGTCTGTGGTATTTTGTTAGAGTAGCCCAAACAGACTAAGACACTATGTAATTTATACTCTTTCTTATTTTGTAATTCTGATCTAAATAATGCTATTAAAAACTGAAATCCATAGGTAACAATTTGCATTATAATTTAGATACATGTAATTAACTTTTCTGTAAGTACAGGGCTGGGGCAAAAGTAGGTTTACCATTGTTCATATGGAAAATAATACAATAATTAATATAATAATAGAATAAATTACGTTTCGAATACCCACAACGGTAAACCTACCTTTGCCCCATCCTGTATAGTTTTTTGACTGTTGTGCTTATTTAACTTTTGGAGATAACTTAAGGGGAGGAATTTTTCTTCATATCTGAACCAATATACACTTTACAGCTTGATAAAAATCCTTTTCGTATGGGTAGCTTACATAATCTTTTATTATTTTAAACAGTCAGTAAATCATTTCATGGTAATTAAAAACCAATAACACTGAATTCACAATACTGATGTTCTGTCTAATTTATCTCTATATAATCTCTTCCCCCCCCAAACCAAAAATATATCTTTTCTTAAGCTATGCTCCCTTCTGTAATTTCTCGGAAGGTGCATTTAATATACCTCACTGGTATTTCACTAAAAGGGCAAGGCAACCTAATCTTGATTTGTAAAGAGTTTTCATTACTTGGTTTCAATAGTTCATTGATTATTGCGGCTTCATGGACACTGTTATGATAACACATCTTTGAAAATTTCAACCCTTTGTTCAGGAAAATTTCCAATAAAAGTGATTCTCTAACAGGGACCACTGCACAATGCGTTTATTTTGCTGTTCTTCACTGAAGGGAAGAAGACTTAATGCACCGTTTGTTAAAGTCTACTAAGTCACACTATGAACTCCTCACTGAGAGAGAGTCATCGAGAACAGTAACAGGAGAGAGGAATTAAATGTGCACGTACCTGTATTAGGCATATCCATAGGGCTGTGGTCCAGAGAAGTTATTGAAGTCTGTTCTATTTTCTTGTATCCAGTTTGTAACTATCAAAGTGAAGAACATGAAATGTCATTTTCCAAGGAAGGTCAAAGCCCAGACTAGAAGCTCATGTTAACGTAAGAATGGTCAGAGGGATGAAAGCGATAGTCCAAAACCTATAAAATCTCTAAAACTTTGGCATATTCATCTTCAAACAAAGCAATTCGGAATCAAAGGCACCAAATGCTTTCAGCTCTGCCATCCGAGGACAACAAAATATGAGGCCATGCATCTTTTCTTTGAAAAGGTTAATTATAACCCCATATGCAAAAGTATAAGGGGCTGCCAGAAAATCTTATGCTCTGTTATCTTATTAGCATGTCCTTGAAACTGAAGTTACCTTTGACAAATTATATCCCACTGACTGAAAGCCTACTTGAGTTTCCTATTTTACTTTATAGCTAACACACATTTAAAGACTATATACTATATTTTATAACTTCAATTTATTAGGGTACTGTAGCAACTAGTTATTAATTGTGTTGATTTTGATGAAGAAACTCCCCTTTTGTGTGAGTTTGAGCGGGTGAATGATAGTCTAGTATACACACATGAAGAACATACCCACCTACACTGGGTGGTTAGGATTTGCCTCACTGTCCAGGAAAGAAGCTAAGGAACACAAAGGACACTGCCTGTCTTCAGTAAAGCAGAGAACAGAAATAATAACTCACTGAACCATATTAAAGTCTGTCTGAAAATACATATGACTTTCCTAACATAGTTCTGAGTGACATCTAGGCATGTCTAGGCATTCCTGATAATGGCTTTCTGGCCAAAAGACACACTGTATTGAAAACAATTATATTTATTGATAGCACAGCATAAAAATCCTAAAAGGACAAAAAAACACCACCTTTCAAGGAAATTCCAGTTTGCTAACAAACTGTATTACCAAAATTATAATCCTCTATGCACATAACAAATATAAAAACATACAGGGGATCTATGAACTGCATAAGTGAACAGAAATTTAAGAGTAGCTGGTTTACCTTAGAAGATGGTAAAACAGCCTCCGTAGCTGAGGGAGCGGGTGAGGTCTTGGGAATCAGTATTTTGGGGGGAGAAGGAAGAAGACCAGATGTTGAGGCGTGGGGTCCATATTCTCCTGAGCTCTGTAAACGGGACGCACACGACGGCTTTTCTGGACGACTGCCGTCTGATTTTTGTCTTATGAATGCTATCTCCCAAGCAGATTCTCACCTAGCATTAAAAAGAAATGCTTTATGAATAGATTATGGATATAGTGCCACTGAATTGTAAGATCATGTTTCACATATTATCTAAAAATATTTCTTTTAGGGTCTGAAGTACTGAAGACATCATAGATTACTACTTTAAGGGACATGCTAAATGATTCCTTTTATCCTGTGGACAGAAGAGTTACCGTAACTTGGCTTGGGTAACTATGCTATTTTCTTCTTCAGATGATACGCCCATCATAGATCCCTTGTTTATTGAGACAAGTTGATCTCCTGGCCTCAAACATCCACCCTAACAAAAGTAGTAACATTTGTAAAGAAACTAAAGAGGATGTTTTTTAAAATAGTTAACCGATGCAATTAAAGCAAAACAAAGTTTTGTTTAGTAAAGAAAGAGTATAAAGGAAATCGTAGACAAAGAATCTCAGTAACAAGGTTTTGATTAAGCCTGGTTTGCTAGTATGTGTGAATGAATAGGAATAGTTCATGTATACCTTGAATAAACTCTCACTAAGGAATCCTGAATGTCTGAAGGCATAACCCCGCACACAAGGAAAAGAGACCTGTTTTAAAAGCTTGGTACTATGAGACAGATATAGCTCTGTCTCTGCAATAAAATAGGCCAAATAATCCAAGACTATGTCAGAATACAAGTCCCATTCACTTTAGTTTCTGAGCATTCCTGCGTCTTTCATCCCATCAAACCACTGAGATTCATTCCACAGTAAGAATTTTTAAAAATTCAATCAAGGATCATAATTAGATTGATATTACCCATATTTCCGCTCATGATCAAACATCTTCTTTACTGGATCTACTATCCCTCCTGTGACCCAGGACTAACTGGTTGTACATATAGCTTTAGTCATGTCCAACTAACAATGACCAATTCTAACTGGTTGTCTGGCACTGTCTTTGTTAAGTCCTCTGCCTATAACTAGCCTAAAGGAGTAAAAGCATATCTGCTACAAGAGCAGATGTCGTTCTTAGGAAAAGCTCTCAGTGCCCATCTGTCTTCTCCGTTAATTTGAACGGGGAAAGGAGAATGAGCTCTCTTCATTTCCAGTCTCAAAGATGCTTCTCAATTTATCATTTGTACAGGGACAGAGAGCATTATTTAAATAACTAAGGAAGGCGCTTATACGGTTAGAAGGCTAAACAGTCACCCTGATGCCACAATTCAAGGAAATACCTTTTTTCAAAGCGTTATCGAAGATATATCCCTCGGATAATGGATCTTTGATCCGAACTGCATTATATATAATAATGGTGATTTATGGTTACTTTACTGCAAAATAACAAGTTATTTTAATTTTTTAAAAGACGTTTAGTGTTGCCTTGGCTCTGTTGGTTGGAGTGTCATCCTGTATACCGAAAGGCTGTGGGTTCAATTCCTGGTCAGGGCACATACTTAGATTCTGGGTTTGATTCCTACTTGTGGCGCATACGGGAGGCAACAGATAGATGTCTCTCTCTCCCCACCCTTCCTCTCTTTCTAAAATCAATAAAAACATTTTTTTTTTTTGAAATACATCTTTATTGACTTCAGAGAGAGGAAAGGAGAGGGAGAGAGAGAGCTAGAAACATCAATGATGAGAGAGCCATTGATCGGCTGCAGCCCGCAACCCGGGCATGTGCCCTGACCGGGAATCGAACCCTGATTGCCTGGATCCTAGGTTGACGCTTAACCGCTGAGCCACGCCCGGCCGGGCTAAAAACATATTTTTAAAAAGATATTTAGTGTTACTTCTTATACTGAATACTGAGTACACAGGAAAAGAATTAAATAAATATAAAATATTTATCAAAAAAATGTTGTGGAAATGTTATCTCAAATATGGTGTAAAAGATATAACCTGAACGCATAATTACTCTATGACTTTTCTGAATTATAAACATTATAAAAAATTAAACCAAAAAAGGCAATTTAATAATATATAAAATTTGAAAACTAACTTGGATTTTATAAATATATGATTAAATATAACTAGCAAAGTCATGGATCATAACACACAATTGCTATATTCACAAGTGACTTTTTTCTCCTTCCATTTGGTTAATGTATGGGGAGTGAAACACAATAGTAGTGCTGGAAAAGACTAAGCAAAATGGAGAAAGCATTTACCATATGGATTCTACATGTTCAGTAAAATGAAAGAACTAATTTTGTAAGATTTTATAAACACAGTTTCGTATAGCCTGGGCCCAAATCTTACGGTCGTAGAGAACATTTTATGAACTTGACCCCAAAGGCAAGGGGAGTAAAGGCAAAAATAAATGAATGGGACTATATCAAACTAAAAAGCTTCTGCACAGCAAAAGAAACTGACAACAAAATAAAGAGGCAGCCAACCTGATGGGAAATGATAATCGCACAGTAGCTCCAACAACGGTTTAATTTCCAAAATATATAAAGAACTCATAAAACTCAACACCAAACAAACAACCCAATCAAAAAGTGGGCAGAGGACCTGAGCAGACTACCTCTACCAAGAAGACATACCAACAGCCAATTGATATATGAGAAGGTGTTCAACCTCACTAGCACTTAGGGAAATGCAAATCAAAACTACAATGAGATACCACCTTACATCCGTTAGAGTGGCTATTTCAACAAGACAGGTAATAACAAGTGCTGGAGAGGCTGTGGAAAGAAGGGAACCCTCATTCACTGCTGGTGGGAATGTATAGCCACTATGGTACAGCCACTATGGAAAGCAGTCTGGCAATTCCTCAAAAAATTAAGAATAGAGCTACCATATGACCCAGCAATCCCTCTCCTGGGTATCTACCCGAAAAACTCCAAAACATGTATTCGAAAAGATATATGCACCCTATGTTCACTGTAGCATTATTCACGGGGGCCAGGACATGGAAATAACCAAAGTGTCGTGCAATAGAGCTCTGGATAAAGAAGATGGACATGCACACAATGTAATGCTAACTATTCAACCATAAGAATGGATGAAACCCTGCCATGTGCTACAACATGGATGGACCTGGAGAATATTATGCTAAGTGAAATAAGTCAGGCAGAAAAAGCTAAGAACCATATGATTTCACTCATATATGGGATATAAAACTGAAACTCGTGGATACAAACAGCAATGTAATGGTTGCCAGAGGGAAGGGGGTGGGGGGATGAAGGGGGTCTTAAAACATGATGACGGGAGAAGATACGACTTTGGGTGGTGGGCACACAGAGCAATATACAGACCTTGTAATGTAGAAACCCACACCTGAAGCCTGTATGGTCCTATTAACCACTGTCACTCTAATACACTTAATTTAAATAAATAAATAAATAAATAAATAAATAAATAAATAAATAAATAAATAAAGTTGACTATTCTTAGACACTATGTACATTAGTGTGCAACTTAATGGGCTTAATTTTAGTTTAAGGACAGCCATTCATTCCCTCAAGGTTAAGGTGAAATGGTTAACAAACTAGAAAAACAACCTTTTGGCCACAGGCAAAATAATAAGGCTAAGAGTTAGGGAAGAATAAACAACATTTCTGGGTAGGAGGGTGGAGAATGTGATGGGGAAAGCACACAGGAAGTCTCAATAGTACTTAAACTTTCTACTTAAGTGCTGAACTCTACAGGGATTCATAGGTATTCATTTATTATTATGCTTCATAAGTCAGCTATAGTTTCCAATATCCTTTCGTGTATGTCAAATTTTGCACTATAAAGAAGAAAGTAAATTTTCCATCCCCCCCAAAATAAAAAGAAAGCTCATGTCATTTGCCCAACAATATGCATAACTACCAAATCTGGCATTCAAAGTAAGGGTCAAATAGAGAATTTTTATTCTGATTTTAAAATCAATCAATTAATTAATAAAATTAAATGTCATTGTTAAATCTAGCTATATAGACCATTTGGAATCTGCAAAATAATTCCTCATTAGAATCAGTTTAATAAGATAGATTGTAACTGAAATTTATTGACTACATTACTACTGACTTGGATCCCAAAGCTTGGAAACAATTTAGGGGTGGGAGATGGAGAATGCCCTGCTTCATTGGAGCAGATCAGTTAATGGAGACTGACAAAGAAAGGTTCTTTTAGAAGTGGGGTGACAGAGAGTAAATATTAGGTTACTTTGTGTTAATCTAAACATTCTTGGTATTCACACTTCCTTCTATTAAACTTCACTGAAAAGAGGAAATTCTATAATGATGACAATAAGTCAGATGGCAACTCAACTGTCTTTTGTAAGGGCGGGAGCTTTCAAAGGTGTGGACTGGAGTGGAAAGAGCACAAGGTTTGGCAACCAGATAGACCCCAACTCAAATTTGAGCTCTAGGACTTGCTAGCTGCACGTTCATAAACATTAACAGAGAGAGAAGGCAGGGGATGGGGAGGCGCACAACATCCTCCACAAGGAACACAGACCTAAATTCTAAAGTGTCCCAGGCAGCTCCTGTATCTCTGTATCTCATAGGCAGCTCCTGTATCTCTGTATCTCATAGAAACCATAGTTGGTTGTCAGAGTTGCCGAGAAAAAGGCTACAGAAAACAGATATAGGCAACAGGGTTGAGGCTGACCTACCATCTCCCACATTCTCCTCTAAGCTGTACAGAGGGAAAAGCTCTCGTAAAGGCAATTTATCATATCTTACATTAAAGTCCTCTGATGTATTAAAGTAGCATTTTTAAGCCGGACAAGAGTCAGAGAAGAAAGGAAAAACAATGCCTTCCAACTATGGCTTCTGGTGTTTATATATATTTTTTCTTTCTAAAAAGTATTCACAGCAGTGGTTTTTTTTTTTTTTTTCTTTGCTTCCTAGAATAAAATCTTAGCTGATCATGTGAATTTCTGAACCTGTTTAAAAGTCAGAACTTGCAAACTAAAACAAAGCTATTTCTGTAACTGTCTGGCATTGGGAACCAGTGACTGCTGCCCCAGCTGGATTAATGTGCATGTGAAGATGCTAACTTCAGAGGCGACTTCCACGCCGTCTAGATTCTGATTCAGCAGCTACTGAGCGACTATGCAGCACAACAGGCAAGGTGCCCAGCTTCAGAGTCTGAAATCTTTCAGGTTGACATTTATAAAGATGTTGAAATAATGATGCATCCCTGACCACTTAAATACTTCTGTGAGAAACTGCCAACACTGTTCATTTCAGATTATAAAGACTATTACATAGTTTTCTAAATAATACGTTACCTTGTCAGCAACCATCTACACTGTCTGACTCTGCCTTAACTAGCTCATTACTCCTAAATACTAAGGGATGCTCTTGTAAGCCTTTGGGTCCTCTCCCATTCTGCCATGAACTGTCCACTGGAGGTATCCTTCTTTTATCATGTTATTTATGTGACGCTAAGTGAGTTGTTTAACCTCCATGAGACTCCACTTTCTTAGTTGCAAAGTGGGGATAAATACCCACCACACAAGGTTGATGTCACAATTAAATAACATACATAAAACCCTAGTACACGGTGGGTATTAAACACAGGTGAGTTGACTCAGAATCCCAAATCTGTGATGGGCCATTTTCACCCTGATAGCAAACTGGATCCTGCTGCTCCTATATTGAGAAGCCGTGATGGCTGCCCACTGGTAGACAAGCTGAAACTCCTTAACTTCCCAAACCAGGCAAAACAAACTTGCTGCAACCTACTATTCCTAGCCTCATCCTCCACCTTCCCTTCTTGGCATATGAATTCTTCATTCTGTTTTCAGAAAATGTTCTTCAAACCCTAATGCTTCTACACGTACTAATTTCTGTCTGGAGTCACACCACCCACCCTGCCACTG